TAGATGTCAATGATGTTTCCACAGCTGCTTGTATGTCTTTCCAATCAACATCTGGGTCAGTCTCTTTTTCAGAACCACCTAAGTGTGACCTCAGTTGTTCCTGGAACCTACTTTTGGTTGTCTCATTACTCAATTCGGTTCTAATGAGTCTTTTTTGTGTGACTCTTTTGCGTCCAGTGAGGCGCAAGCAGATGCGTGCTTGTACTAGAGCATGGTCGGAGTCCAAGCAGGTACTCCAGAATGAGCGACAATCTTCTATTGACCCTCTCCAACGATGACTGATGGCAATATGGTCTATTTGAGTCCATCGTTGGTTTGGTGTAGAGGGTTGCCATGTTAGACGATGTCTCTCCTTATGCTTAAAATTTGTGTTTGCTAAAAACAAACGATTGTCTGAGCACAGTTGCAGCAGACGATCACCATTATCTGTTCGCTGTGCCGGAATAATTAAATACCCACCTAAATGTCTTTCTGTTTGGTTTAAGCTACCTACCTGGGTATTAAAGTCACCTCCTACGAGTACTATGTCTGAACGTTTAGCTTTCTGAAGAAGTTCAGAAAGCTTTCTGTAAAATTCATCTTTCACTTCATCCGTACTGCAGTCAGTGAAAGCGTAGGCAGAAACGACGAAAAGGCAACGACGTGTGTCCCTATCCTTTCGAGTTCTTACGGAGCCGTTTAGTCGAACAGCGCATGGACAACTATTAACGGGGATCCACTCTAATGGCGCTTGTCCCGCCCTCATGCTTAGTGCTATGCCTACACCTGCCAGTCCACGAGAACTAGCCATCGGGTCGCCAGATACACGCAGGGTGTATCTCGTTGGGTCTCCGTTTTGCCGAGGTGAGGTCAAGTGAATGACCACACTAGGATCCTGTATGCGTGTTTCGGAGACACAGCATATATCAATGGTACGAGATTCTAAGGTTTTAGACAAGGAAGCCTGCTGACCAATTTGGCATAGTGTGCGTACGTTGAAGGCTCCAATGTATAGTTTGGAGCGAGGTTTCAGTAGACCTGGGACAGTGTTTTGAGCACTAGAATCGTTGGCTGTGGTGACACTTGAGGAGGAAGCTAAAAGAGGAAGTTTAGTGTATAAAGTCGATGCAGGAGGAATAATAGGAATTGAAGAGGGAGGTTGACTATGAATACAGTGGTCTTGAGTGCTGTTAGAGGTATGAGGGCGGTTATCACTTCCCGGTTGCCCACACCGTGGAAGGGTTCTTCTGGAGGTACCTGAAAAGGAAATTGGATTAGAGTTGGTCATAGTGACCTGAGAGCGTGACCGCAGTGCCCAAGGGACATCTGCTTGAGGTCGGTCACACACGACCTTTTTATGAGTAGTTTTAGTGTTAGCTCCGTACTTGTTGAGTCCTTACCGCCGGAGACGGGTATCCGCGGGATAAGGCGAGGTGTGCATTTTTAGGGTCGACCTTTTCTAACCCCACCCCTCCTTGTGGGAAGGCAGCATCGCTGTCATGCTGGTTGTCTGATGGAAACACCTTACTGCTGTCACACCTCTGTACAGTCAGCAGTACGACTTCGCCTTCGGACCTTGGTTTTGTTGCTTTTAGTCTTACCGCTCTTCAACCAACCTGTCTGGCATGGTAGGACCTTGAGGAACGGTTGTTCCAGCCAGTATAGCTCAGTTGCTTCATCACGATAGGCAAGCCCGACCACCACGTCAAGGTAGCATGGTAACCAGTGACCAACGATTGGTTCATACGCCATTTTTTCCTTCAGGATACTGGAGTCCATGTGCACCATTGGTTTGGGATCCGGTTAAAGCGCCGGACATTCGCTTTTCGTCCTCTCAATTTTGTAAACAACACCCTGGTGAGAGAATGGAGTGAGTAGGACTTCCCTGGCAGAGGCTATATACGCGTGACCATGTGAGAGCATTTCGAGAGGGAGAGCGGACTCTCCACAATCTCGGCCGTACCAGGGCATTTGGTGGCAGCCAATACTACAGCATTTATGTATTAATCCGTCTTGTGAATAACTATTTGATTTAATGGATTACATTGTAAAGGTATCAATGTCAAGCATACTTAAAGAATGACTAATTAATCATCAATTCATAGACACAGAGAATTCATTCAAATGATTAAATTTACCCAAAATGAAAACTTGGTCTTTTGAATAAGAAATTCATAAAAACAACAGTATGAAACGATTATTGAATACTCTTAAAAGAAGACGTAGTGTTATATCCTAGCAAAGATTAAATTAAAAGTAACTTATGAGATCTATTAACGGACTAATATTATCTATATATATTCTTATGGTATTCAGTAGTTAGATTATGTATATCTATTTTCCCCCTATTATGTTTCATTTTGATCTAGAAATTATTATTATTATACGATTTACTGTTCTTAAGTTATGTCTTCTTTATCGATTACTGTCTCCCACGTTCAAAGCCACTTTTGGTTTTATTTTGTATAGATATTATTCCCTATTTTATGGTGCGACGCGGTCTGTTTGGTTGGTATATAAACCAAGTATGTTTGAAATAAATGATTCGTATAGCAGAAGCTGTTATTAGTGTTCTGGACAGGCTAGGAGGACAAAGGATCAATAAGGACGCTAGGCTGATCACGCTAGTCGAACGTCATTGGTTTAGTACAGTACAAGAGTAAATAAGTCGTATTTCGATTGGTGAATAAATTACGTCATAAGTCACAACACGTAGTGCTTTTCAATCACTAAATTTTAGCGTACACAGTAGTTCTACTAAATAGAAATGTTATTTAAGTCAATAAAAAGATGGCTGATATATGGAAATTCCATTATCTTTTAAAGCAATTTAACGGCCTCATTTATTCTATCATTGTATAACTTTTTTCCTGGTTGGTTAACTCATTTACAGAGGACTGAGTATTATGAATACTTCTGTGCTGTAAATATTTTAAAAGGTTTATTATAACTGGATGAGATATGATAAATTTAAGAATAAAGTGTATACAACTGAGCAATTTATCAAATGTTATATTTATGTGAATCTGAGAGAAACTAGATATTCAATGGCTTTGTGTGACGTATTACGATTCGATATAGATGATCGGGAATTAATGTGACTATGACGATTTTTTTAACTTGACTGACGGATGTGGTTACATGTGAAGTTAACACGATACTTGTTTTAGTAATTCATATAGGAGTCCAGTTTTTAATACCGGTTTATATTTGTATTTTTGAATAACCTACCACAAAATTAGACTTAAATTTGCTGATTATAGATGATGAAATTTATAGAGATTATAATCAGAGAGGGGTTTTGTGGATAGTACAGTAATTTAGTGGTTGAATTCATGAGTCAATTGAAGCGAGATCAATATGGAGAGCTTGGAAGCACGGAACGGCCATTTCGTCCTAGTATGGAACTCACATCCTGCTGTTTACCAATTAACATGTGTGTGCCTACACATACGTAAGGAAAAACTAATTGTGACTTGTAAATTAGGGTATCTGAACGTGTACCTAAATGATTAAAAAAACAAATGACCCAATAAGAGTAGACGATAAATACCCATCTCCATCCATTTCTAAAAACCGTTGAAACAAGGCATAAAGTTAATTTTAACCCAGCTTTGTGGTTCTACTCAGTAGTTATCTAGGACGTATATTGAGGTTTACTAAACTATCAGTCATATGAAAACCCGGATTCCTTTTGTGTATTTGAAGAGTTTGATCACGCCTTAAAATTACCTTGGTAATATAGTTTTTTTTTACATTATTTCCTTTGTCTCGTCTTACTTTCCATCTTCCTAGTTGACCTTTTGTTTTTCATACATAAATGTTCTTAAGAAGTGTATATGCGACTCGACTGTTCGAACACTAATCTCAACCTCTGTGATATGAATCATGTATTTCAAACAAGGCACACTAATCACAACTAGCCATCACTTTAATCAACACATATATGAAAGAATAATTCTGCTTGATTTTACATAAATTATAAAGGGAAATATTTAAGCATTTCAGCTATAAATATCTAATCTACTTACGTATATAAAATTCATCCAAATCTTAACAAGGTTTGTTCGTTCTTAACTTCTTGCAAATGTAAAAGCTTCGGTTGTTCATCAAATAAAACTTGAACCTTGCATTCATCTTAATTTTAAATTGATTGATATTACATTTTAAACTATTGGATTTAATAATATAAAGAAGATCGCCTTTTGTAAATTACTTTCATATCTAGTTTGATTATCTTCAGTATTATACACTTTATTTTAGGGGGTGCTTTTAATTTTTACAATACTAAGACAAAACAGCCGTCCAGTGCTTCCAGGTTTTCCATAGTGGTCTAGCTTTAATTGGCTCATGAATTCAACTACTAAATTACTAACATCTCCACAAAATCCCCTTCTGATAAGAAGTATTTATTTAAATTATCTTATATTTGATAGATTGATTTAACTGTTTTTCTTTTTTATAGTATGAACATTATGTACACATTATATATGGTAATTTGTGTTGGTATCACTTACATTATATGATTTAATATTATAATTCTTATTAGATTATTATGATTATTCACTGTCTACATTTCTTTATAAAATGATATACCTAAGAATCCCTATAAAGACAATATTTTAAACTAAAGTATGTGAAATGAACTTTCTTAAAGATAATAGATGTGTTAAATATCGTTAAGTACAGTTGTCTTATTTTATTTAATCACTAAAATTTAATAAACACTGAACCGATATAGCTGGTTTTCAAGCTTCATCATGGACATAGTAAAACCACTATTATTTAGTTAATATGAACCTATATATATAGGTATAAATGAGTTATATCTATTAACTCATAACTATTTATAGTTCTCTACAAAATAAAACATTTTGATACTCAGTAAGCTTTTAAAATGATAGAGAAAGAAAGCAACATATATAGTGGTAACTGTAAAATGAAGTGATACATAATAGGGAAAATAAGGAAATCTTCTAAGTAATTGAATTGAATAGAAAAAACTCAGTTCATTGAAAAGCCTACATATAGAAGTTATCGAATCCAGGAGGCATGGCATGATCAGGATCTGGAATATGGCGACGACCACCTGAAGGATGTGGTCTGAGAGGTCCTATACCGGGTCCAAAAGGATCAAATCGGGCCCCCGGAGGAACTGCCCCAGAAGGAAGAACATCAGGACCACCGAGAAAAAGGTCACTATCAACTCGACTACCAGGTATGATGCGCCTTGGGTCTAAAATCATTCCACCACCTCTTGATGGCCCTCCGATACTTGCTAGAGGATCAAGATCACTTCGTCCATAATCTGGCGGTAGTGTCCCAGCTGACGGCTCTGTTCTAGTGAAATTGCCCAGAAAGGGTTTTTGTGGCTACAAAGAGAGGATGTGAAAGACAATGACATTTTACATATTCGTTTAATAAATTTTTTCTTAGGATACATTCATAACAGTAACTGACCAACTATTGCCCTAAATAAAAAAAACCCATCTAGTTGATATCAATGCCACATAGTGCTTCATTTTACAAGGTATGCTCGGAGAAATATTTTATAATGATAGATGAAAAACTGAAAACCTGTTATCGATAAAAATTAATATTACCAAGCCACTAGCCTGGTTTCAATAAATGTAACCGATATGTTAAAAGATAGTCTTAGGAAGATAGGTAGAATGCAACAAGCAGCTAAGTGACTAATTAACTTATCCCATTACTTTAAAATTAAGCTGGTCAAGCGCCAACCTACAAAATAAGAAGTGGACAATGTGTGTATAATATAGGAATATGAGTTTGATACTAGCTGCGCCCTTCTTTATGAGTCACTAAATTGATATTCAACACGTAAAGGACGTACTGGTATTGAAGGAGAATGCTAGTTGCTCTGCATTAAAATGTTAAAGTGTCTTGTTAAGCACCTTTACAGAACAGTATGATACTTGAACACTAGTCTGCATTCGAGCGAGTTCCGATTTTATGTTTAGCTGTATTACTACTAGAACAGATAATAATGCGCTCAACGCACAAGATCGTCGACATCTAATCCATGCTGAAAATATATAAATGGTTGTATTTGACACAACAACAAAATATGGAGTTCTCGGTAAGATAAGTAAGTCAATAAGTAAGGTGGTTAATCTTCAATCGACCACTTATTTAAGTTGGGTCTGAATGAATCGTCTATATCTTACATACGGTCAAATAAAAAAGGAGTTATGAACCTTTTAAGTGTTTCTATTTAGTGTAGAAAAAAGGTTGAACAGTTAGTATGAAAAGCCTATGGTAATAAGAAATATCAATGATTTGATTTATGAAGATACATTGCCGTTTATAGCTTGATATATAAACCATCTGTTATTTATACAAGATAACTTCTTGCAGTTAATTGATTTTTTCAATTGTATCTCCCTACATTTCTTGTTCAGCAGTTCAACGATTGCAGTATGAATTTTAAACAGCATTTTCGCTTTAAGAAACAATTAACTAAACTGCTTACATATGGGAATGGAAGATTACATGTTAATATATATTGCAAAAACTTTATGAAGCTGCATCAGTTTGTCGTACACAATATTGCTAATAGTAAATCTCTGGAAAATCTCAGAGCGAAGCTTATCGTAATAATATTCACAAAACACATTATCAACCATAAATGCCAAATAGATTCAAGCAAAATATAAAACCTAGTTATGAATGTGGACTATTGTATTCCAATCTATTCAACGATTTGGTAAATGTTGAGATATTGTTCCAGAATAATAGTATGAAAGAATGAGCAGTGAGCATTTCTTTAAAACTTTTAACGCATTTACCAGACACAGATTAGTATTTGGTTTTGAGCTACACTCGAAGTGTGGGGGTTATTGGTACTACTGATAACCCAAACCGAAGTAGATGGGGTGGGGCCTGAACCTGTGACTTGGTGGTTGAATGCTGAACACCTTAACCACTGGACCAGCGTCATCACAGTAGTAGTCCACAAATGCCCTGGTACGGCCGAGGGTGGAGAGAGTCAGCTTTCCCTCTCGAAATGCTCTCACACGGCCACGCGTATATAACCACTACCAGAGAAGTCTTACTCACTACCTTACGAAAAGTGAATGTCTAGCGCTCTAACCGGGTTGGTGGATACGGGGTATCTACCAAGGGGAGTTGGAAATCCCTCATTTCGAACCAATGGTGCATATGGGCTCCATGATCCTGAAGGAACAAATGGAGTATGAACCAATCGTTAGTCATCGGCTACCATGAGACTGCATCTCCTTATGTTCCTCCACTGTCTTGTGGATCAAACCTTTAGGCCGAAGGCTCCAAGTGTGCCCCCCTAGGAAACCCACCTGCTCCGGTCTGGGGACCTGTAAAGTATCATAGACAGCACACAAATCAAGTGACTTGTGTGGCGCATATGTATTCGGTACCTCTTTGTATCAATATTTATATGTTCAGATAAATAAATGTCTGATGTGAATTAAGTATCAAGTACAATTCTGTAAACTGTATTATCAGCCACGACTTTTGTGAGAGCTAGTGGAGGTACTCGGCTACATACACTGAAGTAGACAGTGTAGTCGAACGTAGGGTTAATGTGCTAAAGAGAGCTATGTGTACGAAGTATGGTTCGTGAAAATAAAACTGGATAGACTAAATGATGTAAGGATGATAAGTTTAATTTCAATGAAGAAAACAGTGAGATTTCTCTGTAATGCTAGCTTAAAGGATTTGTTTTCATATGAACAACTAGGGCTATCTTGATCAGCAACTAGACGCAATTAGTTCGTCATAATCCACACAAACGTGTTAGCCTATGGTGACATACTAAAATCATTAGAGTAAAACGTACAATAGCAGGGTGGTCAAGGTTTGGTTGTTCTTAAGAAATATGAGGACTGTAAACACGAGTTTAGGGTATCACACTCTATGAAAGTACAAATAGTATTCACATGTTCATCTTGATAGGAATCAGTCTATCTGAGAACTATGCTTGTGATATTGTCGAAAATAATGTACAGTAATGTGTGACCATCAGTTCGTTTAATTCATGAAGAAAGCTTGGAAAGAAATATTTAAGGATTGTTAACTCAGGTAATTGAACAATACTATCAAGAAGTGTATAACCTAAGCTATGAAGTTTGTTGAGTTAAAAAGACTGCAATCATATTATGAATATTATAAGCACAAAGATGTAGTCAACTGATCACTATTATCCTACAAAAAGTGACTGATCACTAATTGTGTTTTTTATTTACAATGCATGTCGCACAATTACTTTTCTGTGTAAGAGACAATAAAAAAGTTAGGGTCCCAGTTTATTGAATGTCATTTTGTGATGAGAAGTGTCTACAAAAAATAGCACTGGTTTGTTAACGAAGTTTTTTGCAAGACAAAAAACGTGTTTATAAGAACCTTTGCTTAAATTTGGACAACATTAGATTTACTTAAAATTCGATTGCTGAGATTTTTACAAATATAATTCTCCTGCTTGAGGTTCAACAAACTTGTCAGTTTAAAGTCGTAATTAATCTTTCCATAGATCATAAAAAAGTCTATACAGAATTATGTTGCTGTTTAATAGCATTTAGATAAATGTCACAGTATGAATTCCTAGAAAAAAAAGAACAGTACAAGGAACTAACTGAAATTATAACGACCGAGATTGAAAGTTGAGAAAGAGCATTTGTTAGACTTTTGGGATCTCTATGTTGTAGATCAACACTAGCTGAGGATTGCTCTGGCTCGACTCTTTGGAACTTCGAACCGAAAACTCAAGATGAGATCGAACCTATAACCTTAAGGTCTTGCAGATAATAGAATACTAGTAGGTTAGTGGGTTTAAATTATATGGTTAGAAATTCCAAGTTTGGTTAATTCACAGTCCAGCATAACTATTACTAGCCGAAATCAATGGGTGGTTATTCCATTTTCTGTCAAAAATCTGTTAACTCCACATGTTATTTACTACACCCATTTTATTCCAAGGACTTCAGAGCACGTTTGTCTTATTCTAGGAAGTCAAGGAATATATGTGCAATATTACTACCAGGAAAATAGATTAAGCTCTTAATGCAAACATACTTGGTTATGGAAATCATCATTGGTTGGTCGAGGTTCATTCTTATCAGTTTCAGATGGACGGCCAAAAAGAGGTGGAGGGAGGACAGGTTTCCACAGATTTTCCTCAAAGGAGTCCAGCAGTTCGTTTAATTGGGGGAATACGGTATTAGCATCTCCGTAAGTCGAATTATTGACGCTATCAAGACAAACATGTTCGATTCCAGAAAGTTCCAAATGTCCAAATTTATCGGTAGTTGTGTCTGTTACATTAACGAAAATGTGAGCGTCTGTTTCGGCTACTGAGACTTGCAGCTTTTAAGGATTAAATAATATGCGAGACAAGAGTTAAAACTTATGATATATATACAGTTATAAGTCAAATAAATTAGTTTGAACAGTCTTATATAAAACATAGTGTTAGTACAAACAAATCCCAACGTGCGTTTCAATTAGCATTATTCCCATATGTACTAAGGTACTTTTTTACTTACTAAAGAAACCGCGTAGAATCAATAACACTGAGTTTTCACATAAACCACTTAGAAGCAAGTGTTATTGGTACGGTACTACCCCGAGCTGCTTAAACACCAACATACGAATAGTAAATTGAAGAAATGGGAAGAATTATCTTGGGTAGGGCATATTTTTGTCCGGTTTTTACGCTATGACTAATATTATTTTTGCAATGATTTTATTAAAATTAAAAGATTTTTCGAAGAGATGACCAGTAAAACACCCGAAAGCATACATTTATAGAAATAAAGGGCTTTAAGTTTATCAGAGTATAAAAAAACGAATGTCATTACTTGGCAGAGAGATGTCTGTGGGAATGGTAGTTGTCAATGCAATGGCGAAGAGTTTCATACTATAACACATTTACTTGACCGGGTTTGAAAAGCATTTTCGACATTCCTTGATAATATAGAAACTTTTTAATGAGACACAATCAATGTTGCTTAATAAGGGAGTTCGAATGGGTTTTTGCACACTATTTGATTTCCTAGAAGCTGCAATGAAAACCCACCAATTAGATGGCAATTATGATAATATATGATATTTCTCAGCAGTATTTTGAGGCTCTCATGGGATTTCACGTCATTTAGCTTGACGAAATTTCCGTACGACCTGCTTGTTAAGTAATATCTGGGATCGGGATTTCCAGTCTTACGTTATGAAACTAGACTACTTGTTCCCAACCAAAATTGATCCCTGTCTTAAATGAGCAAGTACGTCACCAAAACACCTCAAATTTTCGATAATGTAATAAGAAGACGGAGATTATCAGGACTATATGATATAATAGCGCAATGCATTTCGAACAATCTGATCAAACATATACTTGTTAAGAGCATTTATATATAAAAATAAAAGGTCAATTAGACTGGAAATGGGGTAAGAGGAGATAAGGATAATAATAATAATGAGTAATAATAATAATAAACTGAACACAATTCAAAACCTAATCACTCTGGATAATAAGTCAATATTACCAGGGTAGGTTTAAGGTAAGAACAAACTGTTTTTGAATACACAAAGGGGGTTTGGATTTCCGTATGGCTAAGGCTTTAATAAACCTTAGTATAAGCCCTTTTACACTTTTATATAATACCACAAACGCCGAGTTTAGATCAATCTTGTGCCGTTTCAATTATATGTTTAGCAATAGAGGATGATTGATGTTTATCCTCTGCTCATATTGGGTCACTTGATTGTATTTGTTTCTGCAACCATTTGGGTACATGTTCACTCACCCTTATGTTAAGATTACGCTTGCTCCTCCCTATGTATGTGTGACCATACACACATTTATATTGGTAAACACAGTGGGATGTGACACAATCGTTTTTATGTCTTTTAGCAAGCTAGTTGCATGTAACTAGTTTAACGACTTAGTACATGAACTTGTACAAAATAACAAAGCTGTAGGCTCGAGAAAACCAAGTACGGATAACGGTGATAGATCTATCTATCTCTATGAGTGCTAAAAAGAAGTGGGTTGATTCATCTAATAAAGGTGAACAATTCTCCTTAGATCCATGGATCGATTTCACCACTGTACTTTTACTCAATACTGCCTTTACAGATAGTTGTACGCATCTTTTGTTGCAGGTTGACAGTATATTTTGACGACAAGGTCTCAGTTTTTATTTAAAAGTCTCAAAATTTGTAAGGGATATACTTGAGTATAGTGTTTTGATTATGGTTCGCTGAAATTGATTCTAGGCAGAACAACTTTTGTTGCCTTAAACAACTTGCTTATGTGTCATATGTTGCGACCAAGCCTTTAAAGAACATTCCTAACGGGCAATTAAGCGAGGTAACCTAATAAAAACGCGAGTGCCGTGGGAAACTATATAGACTGGAAGATATTGGATACAAGCTTTTAGTTGTATACAAGTACTTTGCATAAGAGCGAAACAACGCAAGTATGCTTTTAACGCTTTCAACGGTGCACTGGGTGCAAAAGGTACATTTATTCAGCGACAGAACCGTCTCTCCAATACTTTAGAATGTGAATACTTAAGACAAAATAAGTATACGTACTTGGCTGCAAGGTGTTGATAACGTGTCGGACTTTGTTCTAGATATCAACGTGTATGATATTCGAATAGGATCTTTAGCAAGACAGGACGAACTAAGTACTGCAGTTCGCGCGGTAGCTTCTGTGGGTCTTGCTCCACGCGATAAAAGTTCTGAGTGGACCAAAAGAGCTATGAACGAAGCTCGATTCTTGCAATTTGACCCATGAAAGGATAAAACGTAGTCAAGGATGCTTGTTTCAACAGGACTTCTTTTACTACTTGCATCAGGCATAGGTGAAGTGGGGTGAGCTCGGTTTGACGGATCCTGTCAAAATGTTTGAACGTTGGTACACCAACGACCTTGGCTTTATAAGGACCACAACGTAGCGTTAAGCTTTATGTAACTAGCTTACAGTCTAATTGTATCCTGGATTAAGAGAAATTCGAAGAGCGAAGGAAAAGTGGCAAATCAGCAGCCCAATCTGCATGCAGCATTGATTTTTTTTATTATAACTGAACACAGAAGCTACAGGAATAATACTTCACACGAGTTACAGCAAGACTCGAAGAATTGCTCAAGGTTATCCCAAACAAAATAATTGCCTGTAAGATTTTACTTTTTTAAAAATTATTTAAAAGCAGGGAAGCTTAACAACTATATTAGGGTAGACAGTAGCATGAATTTGACATAAAATTATATATTTTAAACGGTCACATAATAAGCAGTTAACTTTGTAGTGACCTACTTTTGTCAACAGAACACGATTGGTTCGATAAAAACAATTATTATTATAACCAATTGTACCAGTGACTGTTTTACTGTGCTCGTTTGTTTAACTGTGCTAATAACAGCCATTATACTTACTCTCCCGTTGACTTCGAACTTGTACGAATCCGGTTACGCTCAGTAACCACGCTTGTACTCCTTTGGCACGATCTCGGTATTCTTTCGATACCACGAGATTGCCAACAAATATATACGACTACTACAATCATCTGCCTTCTGATATTTTGGCCTATCGGAATTTTATTGGTCTATTGGCAAGTAGTCTGGTAGCGGTGTTCATAGTTCAGCTCAACTCGACACCACGCTACAACTTCACTAGATTATAACTACTAATCTAGAATGGTAACTAAGTTTATGAACAGCCATCGAAGTCTCAAATTTTGTAACCTAACCAGAACTCCTATGTATGCTAGTCCTCTTTTTGAAATTCCAATGATCGGTGAGTAAAGATTCTGAACGTAGTTTGGAACATGACTTAGGTGGCATTGATGTTCTGACGCTTAAGCCGTACTTTAGATTTACATGTCAACACTCATAAATTTCACAAGATCTAACAAAATGTAGAATACAGATGTTCTCGGGTGGTGTTCTACGGGAGCGATGCCATTTTCTCATCGGGAGTAAAACCTACTACTGAACAAATAACAAAATACTTTGCAGACGTAAACTTTTCGTAATGGCCACCATTTCAGTATCCTAGAAGAAAATCTTAGGAGAAGTGACTGGTAGTGGGGAGACACCACTGGATATTTGGCTGCAGAAAACTGATGGATCAAACTATATGTGTGATGGCATTATCAAGTACGTGCAAGATACTTTGTGAGTGCGAGGTATTTAGACAGTGTCACATGATAATCAGACATTTAGGGTCGTAGACTTTTGAGTGATATTTGAAAGATAGGATTCTGAGTCAATCTTGGTATGAATCTGACAAAACAGTTTCAAACAAATGATAATCTTCGTCAGCATAGCTGTAGAAGGTTTAAGATGATCGAAATTGCACTTTCTCGTGTAGATTTAAATACTGGGTGGTCAAAAAGCTCATCTGAGATTAAACTGCCGGAGTATATAGCATATAGTCTTACCTTAGTATCGACCAAGTATATAAGTCAATCAACCATAATAACGTAAATCCTAGCTTATTGGGATTGATCTCCCGGTATAAAAAGAATGAGATCATCTTAAACCTCAAAATTCAAGTTAACTTACCCCATCCATAGCAGTGAGACTGATTTTATCATTTCTTGCATAACCCCTCCAACCATCGATCATGATAACCGCGTTGGACCCAACCATACACCTTCCACCACCAACCACACCACTTATCCCAACGGTCATGTTCGTCTGATATGACACCTTAAATTCCCCCATAAGTTCTCATCTTACCCCTCTCTCATGATGATAAATTTATTGATGTCTAGTACCTTTGCACGACAAGTGACCATATAGCACCATACTCGTAAACTCATTATTGTATTCCAATTTTTGAGTTCCATTATCGAACAGAAGCTTCGATGGGTTTATTCTCTAAAGTTTCTGCAAACTTAAGCACGTTTCGGATCGTTGGCGTGGTGAGAGCCATGTATTTATCAGGACTCTGGATCCTTACTTGACCAAACGAATGAAGAGGTCAGTAGTATCACACACACCTAGGGATCGGTGCCAGTACTGTGTATTTAATCTGGTTCATTTAGGGTCACTACTACTGATCACAACTGATCTTTTATAAGTTAAATCTGTTGAAAAAACAAACAAAAATAATAATAATCCGGAAACACTGCTGTCGAATTTACCCCCAACATTAATTAAGGTTCATGCCATTATCATAGATGAGTTAGAAGTTGTACTCTCCTTGGTTACAACTTGTGCTCTTCTCGATAATCACAAGAGCAGAATTCACCGTTTATCATCTTGTAAAGATTCGTTTAGCCGAAAGCAACTTACGACACCATATCACACATTTTTGTGGAGCATAAGCTTGGTTGGCTCATTCGTACAAACCGATCTCTATATTATTTAAAACGTGACACTTGCAACTGGCCCATATGCACCAGCAACCAAAGTGTATGAATATAAGTAATCGACATATTGCACATCTGAACATTAGAGCCCAGAGCATTTCTCTCAAGGACCTACTTATATTTAGGGGGTTTCTGTTAGCTGTCTGTGTGTAATTCACATAATTATTAGAATAAATGTGTCAGAGTTATTCGAAGTTTGAAAACACTTTAATCAGTAACATGTTTTATAACCGAAACGTCCCAACCCAGCCAAATCAGAGGTCCAAAGTGAAGAGGTCCGAAGCGAAGAGGTCCGAAAATATATTTGATAGAATATAGAAATGTGGAGAGGTAACTAATCTAAGCTGCCTAAATGTTGTAGGAGATGTGAAGCATAGTGTACCCACTCGTGATCTGATGGGGACGCGTGACCTAGCACCTTCAGCTCAGTGAGTCCATTTAAACTAATGCGGTCGACATCAAATATCGAAACTTAAATAGCTACTGATTTGAGGGGTTTATTTACCGCTACAAGTATTGTTAGGCAACTAATGAACTTTTGATGACGGTTCATATATATTGGTGGTTGTATTAATTCCTGTTACGGTTAAGTGATAACGAGTTAGAGAAGATCTCCCATAAATGAATAAACAGTAGCAAACTTAACAACCATCTAATTAACTAGTTAAAGCTCTTCCTGTCAGCGGTTAGCTGTCGTAAATCACCAACTTAAATGTTCTTTTTAGAATGGATGAGGGCTAACTAGCGCCGACAACATACCTTATGGTTGGTGCCTAACGTTAGTCACCCATTCGTCGCATACAAGTACGGTGGTTATCTTGATGACCATAAAGCAAAAACAACGTTGTTACAGAAATATGTTAGTAGAAGTGCAGTGGCATCGGATCATAACCACACAATCCTCAAAGCTGAACACGAGACTACTTGGAAAACAGATATTCAATATTTAACGCGGAGAAATACCCAACAATGGAGAAGGCGGGAATAAGGAATTGAATAAATTGGGGTTGATGGTTTGGCATGGCTCGGCTATGCAGGCATGGTCCCAGCTTAATGTTATCTTGTATCTTTTATTCATATTAAATATATTCTATCTCTAGCCTAAGCTTCTTCTCTATCACGTCGGGCTCACCAATGTAGAATTACGGTCTACTATGCTATTAGTACTGCTTTAATAATAGACCTAATCCTAAAATTGTAGATTTATCATCATGTAACTGCCTAATCTATAAGATCTTACGTGGAAGTTACATCATCGTCTACACCAATTCATTGCATTGTAACAATTACCAATACGTGATAGAGAACAAGCTTAGGCTAGAGATAGAATATATTTAATATGAATAAAAGATACAAGATAACATTGTTGTTTTAACATTAACTAATTATATTTTGATGGTTCGTTAACAAGCTTTAGTAGCATTTACATGCTTCAGCGAAATAAACTTTTTTTAACATCAAGCTTTAGCAAATATGACCTGCAAATAACCTCAATATACATTGTCTATCCATGCAATCAAGGACTAAATAGTTATATAAATCTAATTCATAGTGTTCCTTCACTTAACACATTCTGTCTTAAACTGTGCACTATCCTGTAATATTTTTTTCTTCCGACCACTACCTGCCTAATTTCCAATTCTCGAGTTCCATTGCCAAACAACAAGGATGACACTACTACAAAAACATACGGTGAGTTTCAGCTATAAGTTTTCTGCAATCATAAGGTCATTTTAGATGGCTCGTTCAATGGCAACCACACAATTATCTGGATTCATTCAATTGCTCTGATCCGAGCAAGCGACAAAAACCTCAGCGGCACCAGGGACCCTGGAATTAATTACCATACTGCATGTTTTATTCTGGATGCTTTTGGATCATTACTTCTCACGAATGGCGTTACATATGTCGTCTACTGAATAATCCAATTTTCAAAAATAATCCAGGCGAGTTTAACTACTTTACTGGATGAATTTTTGTACTTGATATGTATATATTTTCCAGTTGCTTTTGCTACATATTTGTAAGTGCCACTGTGCTAAAAACAGGAACCTCTTATGGGAAGTTTATAACGCATCATAATCCTGCCTGAAGTTTCATAAGCAGTCTTAACTTAAAAATTATTTTTCTGGTAATGTTTACTTTTTTTAAAATTGTCATATACATCAATAACCTGCATGTTAAATTACCCTGTAAATGCGTTACATTATATCTCCATGCCTTTTGGATTCGAAAGTCATTTGAATCGCATTTAGCATTTCCCATCATAGTCATTCTTGCTATACGTATTTGGGTTTGTCAATCGGTCTACCATATTAGTAACATAAAAAGACAAACATAGTTTCGATAATAAAGTTACAAATTTGAGTACTAGCATACTGCATTAGTATGATAGCTAAACTATCAGGTAGTTTTTGGCTAAACAAACATTTAAATTAAAACTCCGGAACCTATTACTAAAATTAACACTTGATGTATATTCTTGAATTAAAATTTATAATATAATTAGGCA